AAGACAGCTTTCTTGACAGGACAGACCATTTACACGTATAATAATGACAACAGAAATATTTTGAAGCCAGGGTTTTTTTTAGATGGCTTGTGCATTATTTTCTTTTTAATAAACACTGTCAGAGCTGAGATATACCCTGATATAGCTGAGATATTGTTGAAAACAAAACAGAACAAGTGATTCATGCTTTCCACCTAAAGAAGCAAGGTTTTTCAGCATATACATTTTTTCCAAGGAGGGAAAACTGTGAAGCATAACCATTCATTGAAAATATTTTCTCTCCTATTATTTATTACTCTGTTTGGGCATGGCCTTCACTGAACATTACTGTGCTGTTGCTAAGAGACACTGATATATGATACTCAATTATATTACTGACATTGAATTTTTCCTCCTTATCAAGTTATAGCTTGGTTGAAAACAACTGCAATTATGCTATGAAAGCAGCCTCTCTTCGCTACCTTTTGTATTTTAGTCACAGAATGAAGTCTATATTTTCTTGCTATGGCTGTAACAGTTCTACACTATTACAGCAATAGCATGTGATATTGATGGTCCGCACCTTCATCTGCACCTTGTTGCCTTGAGAATATACAAATGTTTTCTTTAATTTTTTCAGCCAATGTACGCCAAATTGCAGGAAAACCAGTGATGATTTTCTCTGTTTTCCATCTTAGTGTGACAACCCATTTTGAGTTGACAGGTAATAAAACAAAAAGCATTCAAACTGATAGCCAATATTTTGGAAACTGTTCATATTTCTCTTATTTTGACCTAAACAATTGATCAGTTGAAAGTTAAAATGAAAGATGCTCTTTATTAAATATTTTTCTACCTTGGTTTTGTATGTATACATATATATATACATATAAAATATATATATGCAAAACTAATTGTTTGATCATATTATTTACTATATAATCAGTGTCCAGAAACCACATAACCATGACTGGGAGTTTAATGAAACTTGTACTCTCCAGCATCTGAGGCACAGACTCAGGTGTGAATGATCCAAATCATTCATTACAGGTTCTAACATACCTTATATACATCCACAAGTTTTCTCCTTTAACTTTCTCACCTGCCTTTACTCATCAGCAAAACATTCCACAAGTGCTCCTTAACTGTGCATGCCATCACTTATCCAGTCAGAGCCATGAGTCGTTCCTGGTCACGTGTTCTTCCACTAATCAGGGTCACCACCACATGGCCATCATGCAGCTTACTTGATTTTGCTTTTCTCTTCTTCTGGAGAAGCCTTTGGTTCTCAGCTTTACTTTCTCATGCTGTTTATCTTGCTCCACAGCTGCTGCTCTGAATACTCTTTCTTGTATTCCCACAGTACTCCAGGCTTCACCTATAACATGTCCAGATGTGGAGTCCTCAGTACAGAAGAGATGTGGGCCTGTTGGAGTGCATCTAAAGGAGGGCCACAAAAATTATTCAAGTCATGGAACACCTCTCCTACAAGGACAGGCTGAAAGAAATGGGGCTGCTCAGCCCGGAGAAGAGAAGACTCTGGGGAGACCTGAGAATGGCCTTTCTGAATCTAAAGAGGGGCTATAAAAAAGAAGGAAACAAACTCTCTTGCAGGCTCTGCTGATACAGGGCAATGAGATATGTCTTTATTCTAAAAGTGGGGAGATTTAGACTGGTTATAAGGAAAGAAGATTTTTACAGTATGGGAAGTGAGGCACTGGAACAGGCTGCCTAGAGATGTGGTGGATGCCCCATCCCTGGAGACATTCAAGGCCAGGCTGGACCAGGTTCTGTGCATCCTAACTTCACTGTAAACGTCATTCATTGATACAGGGCAATTGGACCATATGACTTTTAAATGTCCCTTCCAACTCAAACAATTCTATGCTTTTATGATTCTTTTTTCCAGGAATACAAAATTGGAGAGAGCACTTCTTCCTCACAGAGTTTGCACTCCAAATAGTCGAAATAGACATGATAATACAAAGTAAAGGTAGATGCATAAATATTTTGCAGTAGGACATAGAGTCTTAAACATCTTTGTGTATATGTTTTCCCTAAGCAACTTGCACATTATGTTTGTACATAATGTACAGTCAGTTCCAGAAATGGAGATAAAATTTGAGGGTAGAGATTATGACAAAATACCTGATACAAATAGAATGACTTTAAAAAAAAGGGAAGTAATGCAACCTCAGGCAGAGCCTGTTAGGATATCAAGACCTCTCTCCCTCTGTATGTTTATCAAGAGTCTGTGTCTGTAAGGCATTTATGTTTCATAAAACAATCTAAATATCACAGCACATAAATTTAATCTTGAAATAAATACAGGGAAAATTTATCACATCACTCTGTTGAAAAAAAAAAAAAAAAAGAAATTATTCTGCTGAACAGAAAAGACCTGAGATGTACACACTGAAAACTCAACATCTATGATCAACTCAATAAATGGCATGACATGTGAGGTGACAAACGGGAGGCTAAAAATATACTTCTTCAGCCACATGATGAGGATCATAATCAAAAGGAGCTGTTCCACAAGTTCTGTGGGAGGGATCAGGGAAACACTTTCCTGAGCAGAGAATAAAACACAAGAAATTTAACTCATCCGCTGCCACTTTCTGGAAATTTCTCTGGAAGTTGACAGCAGGAGCAGTTCTGTTTGCAATCATAGAACAAATGAAGCCAGAGTACACTAATGAACCAAAGGGTGGATCAACATAGAGCCCAAATACCATTCTCAGATCACATGCCACACAATGACATGCTGCTGGGCCGTAAAGTAACATATCATTCTATTTCCATTCCCAAATAAGCAATAATGTCCCTTGCCTCCCCCTTCTTGTGATCTTGTTTCCTTACCTTCTTCTGCTTCCCACTGCAAAACTCCCTACATAACACAATGTTTCCCATCTCCCAGTTTTTTAGCCTGTGTGCTGAAAGGCAGTGCAAACTGTTTAGCCTTCAACAAAAGCTGAAATATCCTGCATTTCTTTAACTGGCTAATGAGAATATACACATCTTTGGGTTTGTAAGATCATCAAGGAATTCCACATGTGCCTTCTGGCAAGGAGTCGCTAGTGTTATGATTGGCAGCTACCCTGTTGGGAGGCAAGAGCCTTCTGAGGCTTATGGCATTTGTTATGCCTAGAAAATTGCTAAAGAAAGATATTAGGATAATCTGGAATGATGTCTCCAAAATGACTCCAGTCATTTATCGTCCCCATTTTTAATTACTTCACTGACTTGGATTATTCATTCTTAAAATTTGCTTCTAAAGCATAATAAAAAGTCAGTCTCACAAGTAGGTATCATTTTTCTTCTTCCTTAGGTATATGAGCAGTATATTTCATGCAAATAATATTGCCTTGATTTTTATGTATTTTTAAAGACCTCCTGCTGTTGGTATTATCAGTATAAGCTTTCTACTGAAACTGGAGAAAAATCCAAATATTGTTTATAATTCCCTTTCTTTTTTATTTGAGGGATGTTTCCATGTAAAAATGTGTTGCCAAGCTTCAGATTCTTACAGAGAAAATTATTATCTGCAAAACTGTTACATGAGGTGTCATGTTTTATTTCCATACTTATGCTCGTAAGTATAAGTAAGCTTTTTTAAGAAATTTGTCTTTGCTCTACACTATAATTTTATCTTGTAAACAAATAGGAAGATTTCTGTCTGATTTGCACCCATCCTGAAAAGTCCTGAAATGGAGCTAGCTTTAATCCTATTTAACTGTTTCTGTAGACTTGTTCTTGGTATGTACAAAACAGCGTTTACCTGGAAGTTTCTTTCCTTCTAAGAAAAACAGAAGCTGTATTTTCAGTCAAAAATACAATTTTGGTCATTTGCATAATCAAGTACCATTCAACTGCAATTCCAGCTATATGTATGCTTGTTAATCTTAGTTGTCTTTTCTGATGGAATAGAAAGAAGATGTCTAAGATTACCACTGCATAATTTGTCAGAGAAAAAGCTGTGAATTGATAACTGTTACATATATGTTTGCTATGGCATATCATTTGGCAAAAGAATAAACTCATTAACTGCATTTTTCATAAATAATATTCTTTGGATTCTTCCTTGTTTGCCAAGAATATCAATTCATTATTTTTCTTTCACTAATACAAATATCACTGTTTGTTTTAATATCCAGTCCTACAGCAGGTCTTGGAAGTTCTGAGTATTTCTGTTAATAGTCTACACTGTTTTCTTCCCTGATATAGTCTTCTTATAACAAGTATATGGAATCATTAGCCTGACTTGGGATAAAATCCAAGATTTCTTCAAGTTAATGGCAAAATTGTTATTAACTTTAAGAAATTTTATACATGTTTTTTAATCCTAGCTACGATTCTTTAGAGAGAGATTTCTGCACTGTGGTTTTCCTGGGGTTTGTTAGCATGTACCTGTCAGAGTGGGTGCCTGGCAAGTTGTGGCTAAAGAAATGTGAAGCCCTTTCACTTGGCTTAAAGTTCAGACCAAGATCCAGAAGGAAGGAGTATTAGATTCTTTTTCTCCTCATGTCTTAAATCCTGAAAGAACATCCCACCTTTCAGATGAGGAATGGATGACCATTCTGTCCTCCCAAAACTATTTGACTTAGTGTTTGTTCCTTACTGAAATTCATAAGGCTTTTCATGACTTTATCATCTAACAGTTAGAGCACTTTCTTGAGAGAAGGGAGAGCTGAAGTCCTATTCTTGTTCTAATTAATATTTTATTATTTCTGTTAAATCTTCAGTAGCGTACAGACAGGAAAGACTACTCTCCAGTTTCAAGAAGGAAACCAAATGATTCTCAAACCTAATCCAATGAACTCAAATATGGATTTAAGTCCAGAAAAAGAAACCACAAGCGGTGGTTTGCCTGTAATCTGGACAAAAAAGCATTGCAACCACCCAGTTATGATAAGAAAGGACTGTATGTTCCTCACTTAGAAAAGAGTAGCTGTAGAAACAAGGAGCATCAACTGGAGAAAGGCTTGTGCTCTGAACACCTGGTGGACAGAAGCCTCTCCATGCAGATCAAAGTAAGTATGTATGTCTCAGAAGGCATAAAACTTAATATTTTAAAAAGAAATAAAATTATTAGGTGAATACACACCCCATGTACATGTTCTTTTTGATCTCCTTTGCGATCCTTTTAGTCTATTGACATGTTGTTTACAGATACTAAAAGCCCAGCATAGAGATATGGAGTGCTTCTGTGTGATTAGGTACCTGCAATATTCTGCACTGTAGTGACTGAATACTTTTTTGACTGTATGCCTTAAATAAATCACAGGTAGTTGAAAAGAGAGCAGCAATCTTTAAAAGTGAAAAACTTGAGCACAACATCTCAATTTAATTCAAAGCTTTTCCTAGGATGTTTTTGGTTATATAAGAAAAACAGGTTATATTTTTAAGAAATAAAAAGAGAAAGGAAAAACATAAAAAGGTGTGCGGATGTTTCTGCCGAAGTAAAACGCTGAAGCACCGCATGCATATAAGATTTGCATATGAAACCAACATCTTGTATAGTGAATACCAGACCTGCTGGGATGGTGCAATACTCCTGGAAACTTGCTTGGAGTTGTAAGAATAGTGTTGCATCATTTTGTTGATTGTGTGGAAGTTTTAATCTCATTAGGTTTTCAGTGTATGTCTGATTTGAAACAACATGAATGAATCACCCTCAGTTAATACCTTGTGCTCATCCATTTATTTGCGTTTATGAACAGTTTCAATGCCTGCTTATTGTTTTTACTTCTCATGTCCTAATTGCCTCATCTAAGGGTGTTGGTTTTTCTTTATTTTTGCTGTTGATGTTTTCCACTTATCAGTAGGCCCCACGACTTTTATTCTAAATACTGTGATAACAGATGGTGAAGAGAAGAACAAGGATGCATATTTAATGTTTTCCTGTACAATTACCAAAAGAAGGTGGTACTTCTCAGTCACAAAGACACGTTTTATCTCTCTTTGAGTATGAGCAGGTGTTGGATTTTCCCTGTTAAATCCAAACCGTTATGGCTCCTTAACCTAAGTACAAAGCAATCTTCTTCAGTCCGCATTCTCACAAGCATGAGCACACAAAGCTTATTAGAAGCTTTTTCTAGATCACTGTGTCCATCATATATCCAATTCCTGTCACAGGAAAAGATAATTAAGAGACTGTAGAGAGTTCTTTCTTGTATTACTTATACTCTAGCAGAAGATGGTTGTATGAGATGTAGTGAAATGGCATGAAAACAGCCAAAAAAAGAAAATGTTATTTATTTTAAAGTTGGATTACATGAGCTTCTAAACGTGGCAGAGCAGAGTAGTAAAGAAGCCTGATTTACTGGGCTGCTGTTTTTGTAATTGAGCTGTGGCTCTGTGAGATGCTCCTGTGACTTACTCAGCTGGAGATTCAGTTGCCCCTGGCTTTGAGGCACACAGTACAAAGCTGTGGTTTGATCCTCAGGAAACACCAGCTCTCTGGCTACCAGCTAGGAAAGCAGGGGAGGGAAGGAGTGGGGAGAGTGGGGAAGGGTTTCCTCTCAATGAATCTTGAAGCTGTTTTATTACCAAAATCACCTGTTGGCATATTTTGCAAGTCTTTTTATTTCTGACATTTCATCCCAGTGCAGAAAAATGAATTCCAGAAAGGGCATTTCAGAGGCAACATCTTGCTGGGAGATTTGCCATTGTCCTCTCAAGAAGTGTTCTGCCTTTCAATGCCTTAGCCGATTCCAAATTAGAGAATGGCTCAGAGTAAGAAGCTTGCATTCAAGTACTCTAAAAGCCACATTTTCAATAATCTGGTATTTAAAACCAGGCCTCTTCACTGAATGAACTCAGTTTCCCTTCATAAATCTCCATCAACAGAAAGCTATGAGAGAACTCAGCACCCTGGATGTCACCAAAGAAACATTATTCTGCCTGTGCAGTAAACTACTGCGCAAAGTTGTGTCATAAAGCAGAAAAGTCAATATCAGTGCTTTTGAAGTCTAAGCCTATAGCAACTACAAAGTAGGCTGGTCTTGATCTTTTAAAACATAATAACACTATGTGCAAACACTGAAAAAGGTCAGTTAAACAGTTAAACAGTTTAAACAGTTCAACTGTTTTGCAAACAGTTAAAAATATGTAGATGAAGAAGTTCTGGCTTATTCCACACTTGGAGCTTTGGAGTACTAAAAAAAAAAAAAAAAAAAAAAAAAAAAAAAAAAGTAGTATGGTGTTTCCTACATTTTAAAACAGGTTAAGTGGATTTAAATGTTTTAGAATGTTAAAACAACACATGAAAGCATCTATGCTCAAAATAGGTCTGAGGAAGGCACAGCATCATAGCAGCTGTATAGAAATTGCGCATAACGGAAGCAGTGAGTTTTCATCATGTACGACAGAGTAATGCTCTTGCAAAAGGAAATTTTGCAATCTGAGAGCATTTAGAGATGAGAACTCTAGAGATGAGAATCATCCCCATTTTTTTTAAGTGAAAATTTATCATGAAAGATTATGTATCTGAATATAGAGAAACACGAAAGTCTACAGAATCCCAAGTTCCTCCCACTGAATCAAGAAAATACCTACAATTTTCAGCTGTGCACCTCAGTTGATGTCAGCTACTGAGACCTGCTGGAATCTACAGGTGAGTGGTCCAATTCCAGTCTCTGCATAGGGACTCAGCCCAGACCCCTGCCTCAGGCTCTGTCTGTATATTTTATTAAATAACTCTTCTTAGACAAACTATACAAATTCTAAATGGGAAATGGGGACTTTTCCTGTCTCTGCCAGCTCAGAATGTACCTGTAAGGGAGAAAGACATGCTGATATCCCATCTGCCTTATTGTTTCCTCATCAGTTGTTTTGGATATTTTCCAGAAAGAGAAAAAGCTTTGCGAGGAAAACTATGTAATTCTCTCTTGTTTGGGGGATAGAGTAATTTCTAGAGCTGTGACTGAGTTTCTGCATGCTGAGATGGTCACAAATAAACATAAATGGTCATAAATAAACACCGAGAAGTGTTTGACTGTAGTCAGTGTATTATATTTCAGTTTTTCCCGTGGTAAGATGTTTGTGCAGTATATGATGTATATAACTTCAGACTAATCCTATCAAAATCTGTTCTGTTAAGTACAGATTAGCAAGGAATTTATTAAGGGCCTAATTTATCTCTTTTGGACTTTGATTTTGAATGTTCTCATTGTAAAGTTGAATGATCTAATTATTGCATTTATAAAAAATGAAAGTCTTGACAGGAATATTCAGGACCTTGTTTAAAATATTCTGCTAAAAGACTACAATCCTTTGGTAACTTTTTTAGAATTTCGTAGTAATTTTAACACCACAGGATTTTAATGAAGGTCTAAATGCCAGAAGTCTGTAAAGTCTGTCAAACTTTAGGATGTATTTCATTGAAGGAATGAATTGAAGATGTACAGTGTAGCCCACACCGTAAGAATAATACAGAACAAAATATTTGATTATTCCTATCATAACAGCCTGTTCATAATTTCCCTTGAGAAATTACAACTCTATATCTTAATGAAAAGCTGAATATGTGCTTCTTCAAAAACCTGACATAAAAAAGATTGTGATTTTTTTATATTAAAACAGCTACTGACCATTTTTATTAATGTTAGAAAGCTAAAATTTTCTTACAGTATAGTCCTTGCTACAGAATTAGATTATTTGGTGGAGTCTGAATATAGCAATTGTTTCAGATAAACTGTTCAGTAGTTTTAAGTTCTGTAAGCTCAAAGTCACCCGAAAGAGTCAGCAGGAGGCGGCAAGAGAAAGCAGCCATAGCCTTGCAGGAGCCAATTAATGATTATGATATTGACTGTATTCTTACTCAACAAATATGGTAAGTCATCAGAAAAATTCTGTCTTCATTCACCAGGTCATGAATGTCCAATCTTTTGACTTGTCCGAGTGGCACTGAGTGAAGAGGAATAGCCTTGGGTCACGTATATACAGGTTACTCTGAAAGTAATGTCTCTGATTTATTTCCATGGAAACTACAACGGATACGGAGACGTTTGACTGGGTAAATTCTCAGCTATGAAACACTGGTTCTCAGCATAGTCACAACTACTATCTATGCACTGTTGTCAGCAATAAAACAAGTGCCTGCATGCTTTGCTCATAGAAACATATATCAGCAGAGGAGACCACAGTTGCTGTTGCCACTGTTGGGATGCATCACCCATCTCCTTACTGTGGTCACCTCCACTGTTTGGTATCCATAAATGTTCAGCAAGTGTGGGTGCCAGTTTCTGTATAAAGGAATGACAATCGTTTGCCTTACACACTCTTCCATGTCACGTGCCATTTTGTCAGACTGCCCTTTTTTGCCATCTATCACATGTTAACAGGATGTAATGGAATATTGTTGTGAGGGTTCAGTCCTACTTCCATAACACCATTGTAGGCCAACATAAAAAAATAGGAGGCATACATTTGGAGCAGCCCTCATAAAAGTATAGTTAATGTATACAAGTGACAAAACATTCTGATTTTTAATTTTTTTAATTATAGCATAAAAAAGAAGAGCAACAAAAATGTAAAACTAGTGGGATATGTGGCCTTGTTTTTGTGAACCTAACACATCAGGCTGGTTCAAAGGCAGTGGTTGCCATTCTCACTGAGCTCTCAAGTTTTTTGTCAGAGATTTTTGATAAACTTTTACTCTTCCCGTGCTTTGTCTTCAGTAGTAGTTGTTTACAAATGTATGTACTGCCAAAAGCAATGACACAAATAAATGTGACTGTTAAATGAGAAGTATTTCTCTCTGCTAAGAGAGGATTTATAAAAATCTAACAAAGAGACATGGTCAGATTTTTGAGTTGAATGTCTGAATGCAACTCAGGACATTCCATTTGAATATTTGCAGGTTGTGTATTTATCTTGGCTAAAAATGGAGTTGCAAATAAACAAAAAAAAAAAATTGACGAATCTTTTAGCAATCCTGAAACCCATTCTCAAATTCCTTTTCTAGAATGGAGAGCACAGCTGTGTATTTATTGCTATTCACAGGACTGTGTTTAGCCAATGTATCAAACTCCATAAACTTATTTGCCATAACTTGAGCTGGCACTGCACTGCACCCCATGCCCTGGTTTCAGCCCAGATGGGTTCATAGCACACCGCTGTTTGGTTGGAGCTGAGGGGCCGGGCCAGGCTGCCCTGTGGGAAGAGCTGCTGTCATGATGGTGTGGAGCAGGGGGTGGCTGCAGTGCGAGCTGTACTGGGCTGCATGTGGCCTGCAGGTCAGGGGTTGGACATGCCTTTCTTCATAGGGGAGATGCGGCAGGCCCTTTGTAATCTTTCTGGTCCTCTGCTGGACTCTCTCCAGCAGTTCCCCATCATTCTTGAACTGAGAAGCCCAGAACAGGACAGAGTACTCCAGATGTGGTCTCATCATGGCACAGTAGATGGGAAGGAGCACCTCCCACAAAACCTACTGGCCTCACTTTTATAATGCAGCCCAGAATGTCAATGTCCTTTTTGGCCACAAGGCACACTGCTGGCTCATGGCCAACCTGTCAACCACCAGGACATGCAGGTCCCACTCTGCTGAGCTCCTCTCCAGCAGGTCATCCTCTAACCTGTACTGATGTTTGTGTTTTTTCCTGCACTTACCCTTGTTACATCTCATCAGGTTTCTCTCTTCCCAACTTCCTACCCTGTCCAGGTCTTGTTGAAGGGCAGTACAGTCTTCTGGTTTATCAGCCACTCCTCCCAGCTTTGTATCATCAGCAAAGTTGCTGAGGTTGCACTCTATCCCTTCATTCAGGTCACTGATGAAAATGTTGAACAAGACTGAACTGAGAACCGATCCCTGGGGAGCGCTGCTAGCTACATTCTTCCAGCTAGACTCCATGCCACTGGTCACAGCCCTTCAAGCTCTGCTAGCCAGCCAGTTCTCAACTCACACTGCTGTCTACTCATCTGTTCCACACTTCCTAAGCTTCATTACAAGAATGTGGGAGACAATGTCAAAAGCCATGCTGACGTTAAGGTACATAACATCCATTGCTCTCCCTCAGCCCTTTCATTTTCAGTCCTGCTTGTAATGAATGTGCCACAAAAAGTTCCAAATCAGTTACATTCTAGGGTCTACTCACCGGTTCAACTCATGTAGTCATTGTGATCTTTTGTATCAGTCCATCAAGCCTCAACTGATTCTGCTCCTGGACTCAGTCTGACAACCAGTGCTCTCCTGCTTCATCCACAGGCCCTGGAGTCCTGCTCCTCACCACCTGACCCTGGGACAAGCACAGAAAGGCACAGAACAGTTTTATTGATCTCTAAACTTTATATGAGTATCACATATTATATTTTATAAGGTGACAATCTATTAGTTTTTGTGTTATTAAATTTATAAAATTTATGATAATATTAAGTTTAAAAAATTTATGATAATAGAGAAAAGCATAAAAATCAGACAAACAGGCATCAGAAAACAAACAAAATGAATCCCATCTGCAGTAAATGTCTGAAGATTTTCTGAGGTTCAACAGATGACTTTTTAAGCTCTTAGTATTGGCAGTATTGGATGCATATGACTGGTTGGAATTTTTTTTCTTTTTTTTTTTAGTGATATGTTTTCATTGGAAATGTTGACTCATCTGAACCAAAATATTATGTGGGAAAAGATAATTTTCAAAAAACTTGAACATTTTTAGATGTTTTTTGTTAACACTTTCAAGCTCAAACATTTTCTTTTCTGATCCAAAAAACTGTTAGAAATGGACAAAAACATGTACAATGTGTTGATGTGTAGTCAGACTGACAAGAATTCATTTCATTTGGGGGAAATTATGACCAAATTATAACCTACAAAAAGTATTTTTTCCAAGGCACTTCATCAGACTGGACAGTTTTCTAGGCTTTGCTTAAGAAGCATTTCTTCACTTTTTTCTTTTTTTTCTTTTTTTTTTTTTTTCCTTTTCTCTTTTTTAAAGGTTAAATAAAACCAATTTCCCTCGTACACAAATGTCATTTCTTTGCCATACACAGGGTCATCTTCCTGTCAGAGGCCTGGGCTAGGTTTTGTACTGTGCCTGCAAAAATGACGTGTGGGGAAGATGAAATGCGAAGGACCTAGAATTTCTTCATACTGCAGCCAGAAAGAAAGGATTTCCATTATTAGATAATACTGAAGTCAACTCCTTACCCTGACTTCCCACATTTTATAAATATCTTTGAAGAAGAATTACAAAGAATGAAATATTAGCACATGCAAGCAGTAATGTAAATGAACATGGCTTCATCTCTACAATTGTTAGCATTTGAACGACATTTTCATTTCAATAATTCAATTTCTATCAGTTATTCAGCAGTTCACATTATTTTTGATGACAAACAAAAGGGCTAGAAGTGTCCCACTTTGAGTACAGTAATGAACTAGTTGTGGTGATATTGATAAAGAAAACTTTGGGAGAAAATTTCAAGATTTAATACTTCCCATGTACTGCAAACATATATTTCTATGATATAATTTGAGAAAAGAGCTGAAGCAAAAAAAGAAAAAGGCTAAAAATGTTTATATGTATACTATTTAGATACAAAGCCTTTTTAGGGGAGCAGAGAGAGATAATATTGGGGTGATATTCCCTGACTACCTTTTAAAAAACTCTTTAGAGGTAATATTTCAGAAGTAACACATAATCAGTTCCCTGCCCGTACGTATGTTTCTTGCCTCTTGACCACTGTTTCTTTGAAAAGCAGCATTATGAGGTAGAAATTCTGATGTTATTCTTTGTGATCTCTGCTAAAGCTCAGTGTGATCTTAGAAGAGAAACTGTATGTTCCACTAAAATACAGAATGTAGAACATCATTTTTTTATAGCAAAGATGTCTATTTGTTCTAATATGTGGAATCAGAACAGTCACAAATGTATGAATTTCATGAGACGTATGTTGACAAATATTGCCTAAACAGCTAATGTTTCCCGTAGCTGAAGTCTGTTAACCATTCAGTGAGTAAAAGCTGAATATATAGGAATAAGCTTTTCCCTAAAGGAAAAGAATCATAGAACTGTTTGAGTTGGAAGGGACCCTTGAATGCCATCTAGGTCATCTTCCCTGCAATTGAATAGGGACAACTGCAGCTAGATAACAATGCTCACAGCCCCACCCAGTTTAATCTTGAATGTCTCCAGGGATGGGGCATACAACACATCTCTGGACAACCTGTTGCGATACCTCACAAGCTTCATTGTAAAAATCTTCCTTATATGCAATCTACTTCTCCTCACTTTTAGTTTGAAACCATTTCCTCTTGTCCTGTCATAGCAGACCCTGCTAAGAGACTGTCCTTTCTTATTCTCCACATCTAAACTCTGAAAAGCCTCTCGTAGGTCTCCCATGAGCCTTCTCTTTACCAGGCTGAACAGCCCCAGCTCTCTCAGCCTGTCTTGGCAGGGGAAGTGTTCCATCCCTTGGATCATTCTAATGGACCTCCTCTGGACACGCTCCAACAGGTGCACATGTCTCCTGTACTGAAGACACAGTATTAACACAGTATAGAACCTTGTCCCTTTAATTTAGCTATGCTATCCCTCCGCTTTTGTAGGCTGGCTAACTATCATTCCCTTCCCCTTTCAAACCTAGTTTAAAACCCTGTCAATGAGCCCAGACAGCTCCTGGGCCGGAACTCTTCTCCTCATTGACCCAGGTAGACTGCATTGCCAGGTGCCAAGTGAACTGCCCCAGAGTAGAAATGTTAGCAGCAATAGTGGAATCAGATTTTAACTTCTGAACTTACCTTTTGCTGAGTAAAATGGTGGTAGTGACAAGCCAGCCAAAGACAAAAAGAGACTGGAAGAATGTTGGAGGTGGTGAAAGTTTAGTTTCCAGAACATCCTTCAAACCGATGCATTTTAACCTAACCACTCTCCCCTGTCTGCCAACCTGCCCAACCTTCATTCCTGG